TGGCCCTGGAACGTGCATTTGCTGTGGCACTAATTTGAGCCCTGGCTTCAACTCTGGCTCGAGCTCTCTCTTCCTCATCCTTCACAGCCTCTTCATACAGGGATGGGAAGGCACTGGGGGTGGTTTTATTGATCCTGGCCAGAAACTCCAGGACTTTCATCTTGCTGGTTTCAGCGTAAGCTCTTGGACCCCATAGGAATTCATAGCATGGAGGATTACTGTTGGGCACATGTCGGTACTCTAGGTACTTAAGCTGCACCAAATCTTGGGTGATGAGCTTCTTGGCATCTCCAAAGACGACGTGATTCCTGTCAGCATATATCCCTATCATATTCAGCACTTTCCAGACCTCTTCTTCAGTGGCACGGTTCCCCTTCACCAAGATCACAGCCAGCACAATCATCAGGATGCCAGTCTTGGGCATGTTTCCTTCATCGTTATCCATCTCATCCACGGAGGGATTCATTTTGTTGACAAGGGCATAGCAGTGTCTGATGGGATCCACTTCCCTCAAGTCAAGACCAAAGGCCACCTCCATGTACTCAGTGGCTCTGTTCAGGAGCTCATGGAAGTGACATCTAGATTTTGTGGTAATAGACTTTAGCATTTCTGCCTTCATAATCAGCTCTTTCTTTTGATACTTCTTCACCAAAAACTGCACCAACAATACTAATTGATCTTGTAAAGGATCTTTGCTTGAGCTTTCGTTGGCCTTCGAGGTGCTTGGGCTTTGCTCATCCTGGCTACTGGCACGTTCATCTGCACCGGTGCATGACACAGCTGCAGCTCTCCGAGGAGGCTTTGGAGTGCTACATGTTTCAGCAGCAGGCAAATTCTGGGATCTTTCTCCCGGGATAGGAGAGGCAGAGGAGGGGGTGTCTCCCACCTCTGCTGCAACAGCCTGAGCACCCTCTAGACCTTGGGTCTCATCTTCAGCCTGGCGGGCTTGGCGACGTTTCTCACGGGCTCTGAGCTTACTCTTCTGACCTCGAGGCATGATTTCTTATCAAGGAGAGCAGGCAAGAGTGCAGGCAGTTGGGTGGATGAAGAGGTCACCCTAGAAGAGGGAGGGTGAGATGATGCGTGGAGCCTCAGTAGGGAGAGCCTA